GCGTCATTCGAGCTAGAAATTTGTTCTTTGGGCCCTGCGCGAAACAAGCGGTGTATTTGCCACAGCAGTACCTTCGCCTCAAAGCACCGAGAAGAAAAACTAGGTCCCCTAAAAAAGGAAATTAGTAGAAACTCACTAGCTTATTTTTAGCCATATATGCCTCAAACTCCGCCATGCGCTTCCTTCTTCACGTCCTCAGGCTCATCGTCAATACATGGTTCATCATCATCATCGTCATCATCGTCGTCGTCACTTAACGCTTCTAGCAAGTTTGCCCCTACGTACTCCTGAAAATTTTCATGGTGAAGAGAACTGATTTCGCTCCGACTTCCAGAAACCTTCGAGACGTTGCACTACAAGCAATCGGTGCTGGTATCGGCTACACTTTGCCGAGTATCACTTTAGTTTCTCTTCAAAAAACTGCCAGGAGACTCCTCTACCTAACCCTTCAGATAAGCTTTCCAAGTGTGTTACTTTATACAGGGTGGCCACAAATCACAGTGACAAAAGAACGTCATCACTATTAAAATTAATCAAAGAATAATAATTAGTATAAGTCTAAATAATAATACAAATTCAATTTTCATCATGTGATTGTTTCGAATTCCAGCCATCCCCTGTACACGAAGCAAGCATTCGTTTGCACCATCAATCTACTCGAAGGTGCTGCATGGCAATATGACTCGAAGTGTTCTGGAAGCTTCAGTCTACCACCACTACAATCTCATGAAGCTAGGTAGTAGGATGATCGATCTGAATGTGGGAGAAAACTGTGTAAACTAATGTGGTGATCAGGAGCAATGTTGAGAAGGCACGCGCGAAGGTGAGCACACCATTTGTCAAGGTGTTGGCTCGGTAATAGGCGTTATCTCTCGATCGTTCAAATACTGAGGAGATGTCTGCAGTTGAGCCACTCTCAACTAAAAGAGGCCTAGAAAATCTACGTCAATTATAAGGCAACTTCAGCTTCAACAGTATTGAACCTAGACCATCTGTTATGGGTTTGTTGCAAATTGAGGTTGCTGAGATCGGTGGTCTTCGAGAGAGTAGCACAAAGAACAATGTTCAAACTCAATTCATGTGATGGAGTGAGGAGAGCTCCGCAGAAACTCCTGGACATTTTAGCACGACAAAGCGTCCACACACATTGAATGAAGGATAAGAAAAAATTGTGCAGGCAAAGCTCCCGGAAATCGTTCGAGGAGGGTTCCATGTAATTCTCCAAACTCAGATTCAATAGACAGCCATGTATGACGTATGCAGACAACAGCTCGCTCTAAGTGTCAAAGCGAAACTTCGAAGAGTTGAAGAAATCGCTCAAAAAGCTTTCGATGAGCTTGGATTCTCCTCCGTCAGCGCAGACGACCGCCACTTCGAGAGATCTTTTCGTGAACCTTCAATAAACACATTTCCGTTAGCCACTTATCGTTTTTAGCTTTGTCGATTTTCATAACCACTGTACCTTGTTACCGTAATTTGTGACCACCCTTAGAAAATCAGAGTATGTGTGCTCAAAAAGGAGTCTCTCAATCTTTACAATATGTCCACCTCGAATTCCGGACTAAAAATATTGCGGGATTCAATGCTAACCTGATCCATTTCAATGCCGTACTCTTTGAAAAGAAATCTGTTGGATGGATTCTCAAGAGGAGCAGACATGGCAGGATCGTCTCCTGTGCCACATGATTGCTTGTGTCCGGTTGTCCAATCCAGTGCTTGGTGGTTACGGCAGCAGTACCTGATTTCTTACGGCAGTAACGATAGCGGATTGATTAATCGAGATACAAATCTATTCACGTTTGCAAGAGATTACCCATGTACTACCAAAATTTAAAAAAGCAAAAACGAATACAGAGAGATTATTTGGAAGTAACTCATGAACACACCAAAAAAAACCGTTCACAGCGTGCGCTTCTGCTTTCTGAAGCATACGAGCGATAACAACATACCAAGCAAATTCCACATTTTCCGCACATTTCTTAGAAGCATAGCAACCGCAGATTCGACATAAACCTACGCGGCATTCTCAGAAGTGGGATCAGGAACATCGCCATCTGTAATTGGTATGGTGAGCTATTACGAAAAACATTTTCATAATAATATCAAACATCGTCACACCTAAATCGGGATCCATTGGTCCTTCAAAAGAGTAGTATGGATTTTCTCGTGGAAGGCAGCAGCGAAACACAGCTATGTTAGATGCGTCGTTGCTCTTCAAAATAATAATCGTATTAAATGAGTGCTCCAGATTAAGATTCAATACATACATATGCTATGCATTGTGTGTCGTAATATACAAGAGTATATAACACATCCTTGGATCGGTGCATCAGAAAAAAATCAAAATTTTCAAAATTCAAATTGTATTCAAGAAGGAGCATATTTAACGTCCTTATATATACCCTCATCCATCCTTCTTTGAGTTATAAAAGGTTAGTTATTGGACTTAGGATTGGCTCAAAGATGTTGCCATTTAGTCATCAAGGCATGTATTCACTGCGCCAAAGTTTTCAGCATGCAAAAAAAGTGCAAGCTTCGCACATATCCACAAAAAAACGTATGCTCAAAACACTTGTACGTTGTCCAGCACGAGTCATTAAATGGTACATCGCTCCTAGTAACCATCACTCCTTCACTGTAATGACTTGAACTAGGTTAATGTTAATTAAATGTGTTAATGGATAAAAAGCTCTACTTAGGATCAGTGATAGCTTAAAAGGTTTATATAAGGAATTAAGCCCCTGTAAATACTGTCATGAGAGGAATCATTTCAAAACTACGCAACTATGGGTCACAAAGGAGGTGCGAGTGCGAGATAATGCGCGCTAATGATCCCGAATTTCATCACAGAGTTACCAGCAAATTCGCTTAGGCCATCTCATGTCCAGTTGACCTCTATTTGGAAAGCGAAGCTTGACTCGGACACGTACTCCAGTTGATACTCTGAAGGAGTCGTTGAACTAAACAGCGTGTTTTCCAAAGGTTTCCAATGACCCTTCGCGGCCGACATGAACATAAAACTCTACGAGCAGAAATTCGCGCCAGAGGTAAGCACATCGGACAATCTTACAGCATTCCGTTGTTACGATGCTAACCTGTTTGCACCCCGAAACCCTTGCCAAGGTGAATTGGATGAGGATTTTGAGTTAGAGCAAACATATAGGAAAATGGTATCAAAACAGCGGTGTAAGTAGAAAATTGTGGGAATTTAGAAGCATAAACTGTCACTATCACTCAAAGCCTCATTAAATATTAAAAAAAGAAGAACTAACGAAAAAGTATCAAAGATATTTGATGCTTGAAGATACCTTGGAGCACTCCGGATCACGACAGATGAAGATGAAAAGGGCTCGATGAAAAGCGTGAGGAGGGTCGTTCTCACCTGTTGCATAAATTTGGATCAAAAAGGCCATTGCCTTCTGACATATCTGGAATGGAAATGATTGTGCAGGAGTTACGTGATAGGATAACGAAAAAAAAACTGTTACACTGCACTGCAAGTCAGCTGTTGTAGGAAGATACTGAGGGTTAAGCCATGACGGCTTACCACCGATTTTCCCCAATGGTAAAAATATACTTCGAAGGCGATACAAGTTATCAATTTCTAAAGCGTTTCCGAAACCAAGATATACAGGAGAATCTAAAAAAAGACCAAACTGAGAACTGCAGAACTGTGAAATGTGTGGAACATAGCCCGACTTACCATGCGCATTTCTTTGCATGATGCTAGTCTTGCTTCTTTATTGTTCTCTTATCTTCTTCTTTACTTGCAGTAAAAAGCCAGAAGCAGAGAACCACGTGTACAAGGATTACAGCAATGATAGCAGAATAGGTCAGTGCTTCATCCGCAGAGTAGCCAAAAAGAACTGAAAGGAGTTGCCGATCAATTGAAAATTACTTTCTCCACTTCCGAAATTATGCGATACCTAAGTAAGGAACAACACTCCACTTCTAAAAAATTACATGGGTGGATGCAAATCGAAGGAATAAGTGGGCAAAGGGAGTGACTCCTAGCAAATTGAAGGCCCACGTCTCTGACGACTTAACATTGTCAGAACCGGAAGAGCTACTTTAATACCGGTGTCCAAGTCAACAGCTCACCATGCATTACAGCAATGCGATGGAACTGCTAATCGTAACTTTCAGCGGGCTTGGAATAAGATCATAAATGCCGAAGGAATCAATCAACTGAAGATAAGGTGCGAGCGTCTAAAGGTCAGAAAAGTGACCAAATGCGGATACACGATGGAATAATATCATTTCGTGAGCTGACTGAACGCCCACTCCTTTT